TAAAATCCTTAAAACCCTGGTGTTCCTATATAACCAAAAGAATGTATAGACAGATATGCTGGGAAAGCCAGCATAGTATAATGATCTGAGCATTGGACTACAACTCTGGAGACCCGATTTCAATTCCTAGCTTGACCATGAAACCCAGTGGGTGACCTTGGGCAAGTCCCATGCTCTAAGCTTCAAGGGAAGGCAATGACAAACCGACTCTGAACAAATCTTGTCAAGATTATCCCAAGATAGGTTCACCTTAGGGTCGCCATAAATCGGAAATGACTTCAAGGCACACAACAACAGTATAGGCAGATAATGGCAAAGTCAGAATAATGCTGGTGGAAACAGGAAACAAATTCCAGTTACCTCAATCCTTTATATTTTTTTAAAAATGGCTACTGCATCTCATTATTTTCACCACTATTAGAATCCTTAATCAAGACTCCTGTAGGGCATTCCAACTACAAATGGACACAAACAGGTTGTGTAAGAATGAGAAAACTCTGAGGTGCCTAGAAGTCAGATGATGATGGCTTGGAGGTAAAAATGAATACCTTAAGCTGGACCCTTTAGCAAAAACAGCCAATGCAGTTGCTTTACTGATAAGATCTGCATTTATAGCATGGAAGAAAAGTTCTGGATTTAAAAAAAATAAATAAATCATGACCAAAACAAAAAAAGTTTTGTTGTACCGACTTTCATCTTTCTCCCTTCAAATGTCAAAATGAAATGTTAATCCAAGATGAGATTTTAAAAATATATTCCGAGTTGGAAATAACAGATTTCCTTCTAACCTCTGCATGCTCCTGTATAATGTGTACTTTCAGATATCAAACAAATTGGAAATCCCTTTATAAAAGACCTTTCCAGTGCTTTCATTTTTCAAAGACTGCAAGAAGTATTTCCATTTTTGACAGTTCAGTGCTTGATTTTCTCTTTGTTAGACTTCATTGGCAGTCTGGAAAAATTCTGCAGATTTTGAATAAATAAATCACTTCAACATCATTGGAGAAAGGATTCTTTTGGTGTTAATTAGAAACAGGTTTTATGTTCCCCATTTCACCTGATATGGTTTACTATCTGATAATCTATTCTGAATGTTAGTTTATAGTTTTATAAAAATCATATGTGATCTAATAAAGAAAATGCAATACTTTAAAAAATTATTTGAAGTATCATTCTAAAATAACAAACCATTTTTATTTACTTTTTTAAAACCCTGCCTCACACATACAAAACATCAAATGTCATTGAATGATTATTTTGTAGATTCTGAATTAGAAAAATAAAGGTTTCAAATAATGGCTTACAAGTGCTCTCTAATAGTTATTACTAACTGCAGCTCTATTAGGTTTCTGGTTTCTTACTTTTGTTCATGCCTGAGTGCTTCTCTCTCTAGGACTAAAGAAAAATTGTGATACATAAAGATTATCTAACACAGTTACATCTGGACTTTTCTGGTATATGCAATTAATCTCTTGTCTAGCAAGCAATATACTATAGTTGCTGCGCAGCCTCTTTTCAAAACTTCTTCTGCTGATTTAGGAAACATTGATCTTAAAGAGACTGCTGAATTCATTTATTTAAATTGAAATATTTTCTTCCTCTATAGTTCACATGGATATAGATAGTAATTTATGGATGTTAAATCTTCATCAGATAATGGGAAGCTGAAGCAAAATTCCCACTGGGTCAGTAAATTACCCCACTATCTGGAATAGGGGTACTGTCCAGAAAATTTATTATGTAGTTGAATGAGCTTATCTTACCCAAGTGTTGTTAAGTGAACTCGATTGATAGCAGTTCCTCCAAAGGAAATAAACTTGAACGACTTCCCCTGATTCCGATTTTCTCTTCGGACAGTCCCCACCCCTGTTCCTTCAGAAGGTTATCGCTAATAAATATGGTTTTAATTCTGCAGAAGTGAGCCATCTGTCTTTATCAAGGATTAAAGTATCAGAGAAAGGTACACAGTCTGCACCCAGCAGTATTCTTAAATTCAAGCTAAGCAGTCTGCCAGCCTCTCCAGATGGTTCTCATAACACAGCGCAGAGAACTACATTTCACTTCACGATCTGAAGAGACGATACTAGATTAAAAGCACACCTGGCAGAGATTCTTTTCAAGGGCTCCTGCAGGTATTCTAATTACACAACATATGTAGTTATTTCTGGTACACAAATTGGATTTTTATTGATTTGCATGGATTCCTTAAGGAGCTCCCATCTTGAGTAATAAAGAACTACTTTATACCAACACAATGGGTAAAGACCATGCATTCCTGTTTATGCTTCACTTGTGAACTCTGTTCAGACACAAGATTAAAATTATTATCTAGGCTGTATAACAACAGGCACAATCCCACTGGGAACTTTTTTTGTACAATGACAGTTGCAAAAAAGTTCTGTGTTTTTTCACAATTCTTATCCATTAAATAATACAGAAAAAGCAACAGAGATTGTGTTCTCTATTTTCCAAAGGGTCAAATATATTATTCAATGTTTAAAGAATGCACAAATAATTTATCACAGACACCTAATATTTATTTTCATTTATATTTGCCTTTGTAACAAATATTCAGGGTAAATTGCAATCAGAACAACACGAAGACACGGCACTTTAAAAAACAAACAGACCTCCAATGGCTGTCTTTAAAAAATGCCTAATCTTTTTTATATCCACTCACTGAGTTCAATTTAGCTCAGTTGGAGGTAAGAGGATATAGGATTGCAGTTAAAGGTTCCAATCCCATACATACCAAATGGGATTAAGTCCAACTAGGCAGTTTATCATATGACCAAAAAAAAAAAAAAGCTGGCTTACCCTGTCCGGCTTCAATTCTCTTCCGGGCTACATCCAGGTATTATCACATGTAAATACTCCAAATAAATAAATAAATTTGCCACAGATTCCACCAGCCAAGTACAGCCCTGATAAGACACGGGTCCAAGCCTTGCTCAGCCAGTCAATTTTCGAAGTTGGAAGCGTTTTACCCAGGCTGTATTCGGCTAGCGGAATCGGTAGTGAAATATGTGTGATAACACCTGGATGTATCCTGGAAGTGAATTGAAGCCGGACAAGGTAAGCGATAAGTTCCTAGAACTAAATGTGTTTAATCTCCAAGCTAATATGCATAGGATTCCAGTCTTCAAAAAATGAAAATGAAAATGTAGCACCAGGAATGCAAAACAATCAAAAGGACAAACATCTGAGATATATATATATATATATATATATATATATATATAT